ATCCCGTCCACCAACAGCTCGAGGTTCCCATCTATAAAGTGGGGAGTGAGTCTTCCTATCCTCTAGGTCATGTCTGCAATGTTAGGGCTCAAATACCACAGTGGAAGGGATAGTTCCTAGCTTCCAGTGGTGCACAGCCAGGATTTACATAGAAAAGCCCAGAAGTGGTGAGCACTTCCATTCCTCCTGCTGTGCGAATCCATCAGAAAGATGCCCAAGAACCTGACTATGTAATTAATAAGGTGGAGTGCAGTAACAGGTATTGGTTGAGAAAAGTTGCTGTGAGCCATGTTGTACTGGACACTGTGAATCTCATTCAACAAACTACTTCACATGAAAATGGGAATGCATTGTTTCTATTCATTCATGAGATATGGGTGTCACTGGCTGGACCAGGATTTATTGCCCATCATAAATTGCCCTTGTGAAGATAGTGGTGAGCTGCCTTCTTGAACTGCTGCAGTCCCTGTGCTGTAGGTAGACCCACAATGTCACTAGGACGGGGATTCCAGGATTTGAACCCAATGGTACTGAAAGAACTGTGATATAGTTCAAAGTCAAGATGGTGACTGGCTTGGAGGAAAATGTGCTGGTGGTGGTGTTCCCATGTATCCACTGCTCTTGGCCTTCCGAATGGAATTGGTCAGGGGTTTGAAAGGTGATATCTGAGGATCTTTGTGGAATGTTTGTGGTGCATCTGTAGATGGCATACACTACTGCTACGATTTGCAGAGATTAAAATTATCCATGATTATTGCCATCCCTTTAACATAAGGGTACATATTTCTTCTCATTTACTTTGTCCAACATTGAGTTTACTGTTAGAGGGACTGTAAACACACCCACTAGTGAACTTTTGCCCTACATTCCTCGTCTCTACCCAATGATTCTCCAACCTGATCCCCAATAGCAAGCTCATCTTCAACTATTGCACAAATGCTACTAACAGTGCTACCCCCTCTATCTTTTTGTAATTTCCTAACCATCTTGAATGTCAAATGCTGCTCAATGTTGAGGAATATACACTTGTCATTCTGCAGCCACGTCTCTGTAGTAGATCGTATTTGTTTGCAAGGGTCCCCAATTGACGAACATCCTACTTACAATTGCTCATACTCACGAACGCAATCCCATACACCGGTATAATTTTAAAGATCTGACATAAGAACAATTCCTGTACTTACAACAGGTATTTTATATTGTCCTGCATTGTGTTCCAACTTGCATACAACTCGACTTGTTAATGGATTCAGGGACGGAACACATTCGCAACCCAGCGACAGGAACTATCTGTACTTCAATTTGTGCAATCAAATTTTAATTGTTTAATTTGTTATGAATGCTATGCACATTCTGATACAGAGCCATTAGTTTTGTCTTTTTCTTATCTTTGTAGCATACAGTCTTGTCTGCAGGTGCAGTATTAGATTTTTTCTTTCTGGCTGTAACTCTAACAGGAGGACTGCACTAGTAATCGAAGCCCAATAATCCACAAATTGTACCATAAGTGCAAATGGTTTATTTAATTACCAATACAGTCATTTTTTTTCAATTTATTATTGTTATCTCAATCAAAAGAGACATTCACCAGGTTTCCTCAACTCAAAAACAGCTTGTTTATGAAGAAAGAAGCTTATGCGTTACGAATGGCAAAACTAGCTGTCATGTAAACTATTAGGTTTAATTAAACTATATCCCACTCAATCCTAAAATACACATTAATACACAGACAGAACAAGTCACGATGCTGCAGGGGTATTATGGATTGGAAAAAAAAAGGGAAAAGAGAACACACTACACACTGTAGATCAAGAGTCCAAATTAAAATGGCAGAATGACTTGACTTACTACAGTTCCTTTGGTTTCCAGTCAACAAGATCAAGTTGCTACTGGTCACAAAGTGATAAAAGACCCTCAGTTTGAATGAAAATTTGGTTCAGCCAAGATTGTTGGATTATGTTAACAGTTCAGCTTTCAAAGTTTATGAGGAGATCAGGAATATTGATTTCTGGAACATTCTCTGATTCCCAATAGATACTTCACTGAGATAATTGCTTCAGCTGGTTTTCTTTTACTCTTTAACAGTTTTATCTTTTATCTTTCACTGAGAGAGAAATGGAAATGTTTTCCCTCCTGACAGCTTTGCTAAAATCCTTGCTGAAACAAAAACCAGAAGTCCATTGGCTGTCGCTATGTAATGGCAGCAAAGATCCTATGATTTCTCCTTCAAGTTTGTTTATCAAGCCGTTAAGGCCCCAAATGCAATCTCTACTCTTAAAAACTTTAGGTTTTCACCTTCTCCCGTGAACAGTTTATTTCTAATAAACAGCAAATAAACTAAAATAAACTCCTTGACTCAACTTTTTCTAAGAAATCACATGATAAATTCCGCTTCAACTCAGTAACACCCAAGTAGTTCAATTTTCCAGTTCTCATAATTCTGTTTTACACATACATATACATATATATATATTTATATATATGTTTCTAGCATCTTTTCTGCCAATTTTTGATCCTAATTTCCCATATTACAATTTTATTTACCATGCCTCCACTCTGTGAAATACAACATATTTACACATTTGATCCCTTGCCTCTCTTATTTAGCTTGAACCCTTCTCTGCAGGGTGAAAATCTATCCGTTAGTACAAGTTATGCCTAGCACAGAAAATGGCTGTGGCTGCTGGAGATTAATCATCTCAGCCTCAGGAAGTCCTCAGAATAGCATCCTATGCTCAACCACCTTCAGTTGCTTCATCAATAATTTTCCCTCCATCATATAGTCAAAAGAGTGAATGTTCAGTGATGATTGCACCATATGTGGCTCCTCAGGTACTGAAGCAGTTCCATGCCCAAATACAGCAAGAACTGGGCAATATCCAGGCTTGGACTGATAAGTGGAAAGTAACATTCACATCACACAACTCCCAGGCAATGACCACTTTTAACAAATAAGAATCTAACCATTACCCCTTGAAATTCAACGGCATTCCTATCACTGAGTCCCATACCACCAACATCCTTGTAGATGTTGAGAATTCTGCAGCAGATTAACACACCTCCTATCTCCTCAATGCCTAACCGCAAGCCAAAAAACACAAGTCAGGAGGGTGATCGAATGCTCTCTAATTGCCTGGATGGGTACAGTTCCAAAACATGTAATATTCTGGAGAATTATCATAGAATCCCTACAGTGAGGAAACAGGCCCTTTGGCCCAACAAGTCCACACTGGCCCTCAGAGTATCCCATCTAGGCCCATCCCCGTATCCTCCCTCCTACCACAGTCCAAAGATATGTAGGTTAGGTGGATTAACCATGCTAAATTGCCCAAAGTGTTCAGGGATGTGTAGGTTAGTTGGGTTCTAGTGGGATGGGTCTGGGTGGGATGTCTGAGGGTCAGTGTGGACTTGTTGGGCTGAAGGGCCTGTTTCCACACTGTAGGGATTCTGTATATATAACCCACCTAATCTACAAATCCCTGAACACTATGGACAATTTAGCATGGCCAATCCACCTAGCCCGCACATCTATGGACTATGGGAGGAAACCAGAGCACCCGGAGGAAACCCACGGAGACACTGGGAGAATGTGCAAACTCCACACAGACAGTCACCCAAGGGTGGAATCGATCCTGGGTCCCTGGCGCTGTGAGGCAGCAGTGCTAACCACTGAGCCACCGTGCCCCCTTTGCATTTTTTCCCTGTACCCTTCCTGTGCCCAAAGCTACACACAATTGTCATTTAACTATTATCTTCCCAGAGTTAAACATTAGCTGTATTTTGGCACTCTTTTTCTCTAGGCATAAAGCCAAGGGCTCTTCTTTATGACGCCATGCTGACAAAGTAGGCACTGCTGCTTATATGTAAGTTGCAATCATTGTGCTATAAAAGTACGATACAAATAAGCATGCAGAAGTTAAGATAATTAAACTGCTGCCCAGATTTATAAGACAATAAGGCACAAGATGAGAAGTAGCCCATCCAGTCTGCCCTGCTATTCAATGAGATCATGGCTGATCTGATAATTCTCACCTCCACTTTCCTGCCTTAAATCCTCATAATCCTTGATTCCGTTTACTGATTAAAAATTTGTCTATCAGCTTTGAATATACTTAACAACCCAGCCTCTATAGCCTTCTGCAGAAAATAATTCCACAGATTCACTACCCTCTGAGAAAAGAAATTCTTCCTCATTTCTGTCTTAAATAGGCAACTCCATCTTCTGAGATTATGCCCTCTGTTTCTAGACTCTCCAATAAGGGAAGCAACCTCCCTGCATATACCCCATCAAGTTCCTTAAATATCTTGCATATTCAATAAAGTTATCTTTCATTTTTCTAAATTCCAATGAGTACAGGTACAATCTACTCACCCTTCCCTCTTAAGACGATCCCTCCAAACTCAGGATCAGCTTAGTGAACCTTCTGTGGACT